AAAAATACACTGTAATACTTTCGTGTGAGTTAGGTAAATCTATGATTTGCATAAATACGGGAGTTGAAAGTCGTTAGAGCTAGAGAAGAAAGTCACGTCGGTAGAATCGCTGGAGATCCACCACCCTTCTATTCCGCTGGACTATCTGAATAAATTGGAAGATGAGACTCATGGTGCTCTGATGCAGCTGCGTATCCCTTGTCGGCGGCGTGTGTGCCGCCGAATGATCTAAAATGATTTGATGCGTTTGGACTTGGCTGTAGAGCCAGACTGTTGTGAGCTTTCAGTGGGACCGTAACCTCAAATGAATAGTGTAGGGAATAGTAGTGATATAGCTGGTGGAATGTGCACTGGAAAATTCCCCGAGTAGATGAAAGCATTATTGCATCTGTAGCCATTGTTATGGCTAGGAGAATTTCAAGTGTGGGCCTGATAAGACGATACTAAGTGGTAGTCTATGTTCTATGTAATTTTAGGCCTTGGTTCACAGTTACTAGTCCAGGATCTTTGGATCTGCTATAGTTTGTAAGCTGGAGGTAGGACGATGATCCTAAGTTCTGATATGATATTTTGGCTTTGACTCCGTTGGGTTCGTAAGCCTTTAAATACGAGCTGAGTTCATGGCCTGGGCGTGACCCTTCAACAGGAGATGTAAACGCTTGGGAATAATGAGGGTCGGAGCCAATTTTATTCTCAAATAAGGTTTCTGAAGCCTACTCTATTCTGGTGGCAAAATGTTTTGGTAGCTTCTTTGTCAGCTGAGACGAATGGCCCTGTATATACACATTGCTGGTGGGCGGGCTGTAAGAGTAGTCAATATTGGAATCAGCGGTCGCGGATACCGATGTAAATGAACTAAAACAAGCTGCATGAACTTCGGTGAATGATACACTAGCATTTGCATGTTTCACCTGAATTACATGAGATAACTTCGTGCACTATCACTAATTTGCGGCCTTTGCGTTTTCGCCTTGACGACGACATAAAATTTTGAAATGCGGTATTTTTTCGAACAGCTTGATGCCTTCCTTTCCTGAGTGTTCTTCCTGTAAAACGCCACAATAGCCTGATTAACAACACCGAGATGTAGCGGTTGTGACTGGCCACAGACTAAACTCACTGCCAATCGCTTTTCCGGATAATCATCCAATCCACGGAGATCAATCATATCTTATCACGTTGGCGACGCGATCGGTCAAAAATGCAGCGATACTTTTACAAACCCAAGCAACACACGCCTGGGTGGCGGCATCAGTGTCCAGATATGCCTGTAACTGCGGCCTCAATAGGACATCCACAGGACGCCTGCGCCTAGAGAGGAACCATGGGTGGCTTGCGCTGCACCACCCACACACACACCATATCAAGTGTAAACCCGAATGAATAAGTGCGGTAGACATGTGGATGGAAGCCACGATTCACCAATAGAGTCGGCCCACACTCCTACAACATGCACAGCAGCAGCATTGCTATCTATCTATGTGCGGATTCGTGCGTACCGGCCGTAAACAAGGCGGTGGCTGGGCCGTAATCCGCTTCCAACTGGACGGAACGATTCTATGAGCCTAGCACGGTTACGAAGACGGTACATCCCGTCCATCCCATAAACAATTAGCAGTCTGTTGGACCCAGTGATCGGAGTGGACGGTGTTGGACAGGCAGGCATCTTGTCAACATTCACATCAATCACAACCAACTTTGTGGCAAGTGCTAGAGCAGCGCCACGCATACCGCAGACCGACAATAGCTGTGTTCCTCGATTTCATGAGTGCGTTCCATTCAGTCGATCGATCGATTCCGCTCAAAATACTTGCGCGGAAAGGTGTTCCCATGAAATATGTGGACATCCTTCGTGCTCTATACTCGAACACTACAGGCCGCGTCAGGGTCTACGGTGTTATATCGGATAGCTTTCCGACCACAAGTGGCGTTTATCAGAGTTGTCCGATTTCCCCATTTTTGTTCAATTTCGCCGTTCATTCTATCATGGAGTGTTCCTTTACGGAATCTCACCATATAGGCGTTGAAGTGCTGCCTGGTGAAAGATTAGGTGATTTTGATTATGCAGACGATATCGTCTTGCTTTACGACGATGATGCCGCGGCACAATCAACCCTGAATAACCTGTCTAGAGTGGCCCCATTATTTGGTATGCGCTTTGCACCTTCAAAATTCAAAGTGTTGCTGCAGGACCACTAGCCCATTTATGACCCCTTGACCCTTGCTAACGAGGAACTCGGGGTGGTTTATCAATTCACTTATCTTGGCAGCTGCATCAGCAACGACGAGCGCATAGAAACTGACGTCAGCTCACGCAATGCAAACGCCAGAGCTGCCTTCTTGAACCTGCGGCATCTTTGGCGACAGAAGGGTTTCCCTTCGTCTGAAAGGTAGTGTATGCAAGGCCACAGTGAGGACTGTCCTACTGTATGGTAGTGAAACTTGGCTCCTTTTGTTTGAAAATCTGAGGCACTTTCAAGTCTTTGATTATCCTTGTCTGCTTAGCATTGCTAATGTCGAGTGGCACTAGCTTGTCCGCAACGATGATATGCGTAGGCGAATACTAGGCAGTGATAATCATGCTAGCTCCCTAGAACAACAGATAGGTTTGAATAAGTTGTGTTGGCTTTGGCACGTGCTACGTATGCCTGGTCACCATTTACTTAGGAGGGCCTTGTTTAGTCTGCCAGATGTAGTATGGCGCAAAGATCGAAGTGGACAGAAGTTGACTTGACAGTGGGAAATGAAGTCACTGACGACCACACTAGGTACCGTTGGTTCGCCTGGCCTTCTAGGATAGAGTCCACGTGGCTCGCCTTGTGCTTGGCTCGAGACTTTACAGGACATGGCTCGCAACCGACACCAGTGGTGCGTCTGCTGCCATCTCTTAGTCGGATTGTCTGTTTAAAGTGTGTCTGGTGCTCAGTTATCTGCGGTGTAATGGCTGATTATGATGCGGAGCAGTGAAAGCCGCAAGGAAGCTGTCTCACCTATGGCGCCTTATCTGCCTGATATCCAGCTGTTTGTGACGGTAAGTTGTTTACATACGGTTTAGGCGCCTTGACCCTGAATGTTTGTTTAGGGCATTCAGGTTTTCAGTTAAGTCCCGCTTTTCTCCCTCTTATTATTCTTTATTTCATAGGTCATCATGGTTGTATGGCAGCGAAGCATCATTTCAATTGGCTGATGTACTGCTGTTGTTGATGATGAAGCGCAACCACACCGGGGGTTATCAAACAAACAATATCGAATTTGAAGGAAAATGACCACAAAATTGACACGGAATGGACAGCAGAATAACAGAACTAAACAAATCAAATAAAGAGGAATACTTTTAATCCAGATTAAGAAGGTCTAGCTTAAATGTAAGTCGGTGTAGCATAACGGCGCTGAGGAAGCATTCATTGTAATGACAGACATTTTGTATTTTTGTACATTTTCCTATCACTCAGTATCCTTTTACCATGGATATATCTGTATAGGCGTGCCTCACGTTGTCAAGAATAAACAATTTATTTATTTGGAAATTGCACATGATCATGTCAGTAGTACCAAAGAACAGCTGTTGTCCTTCAAATTACGTTTGTTGTCTATCGCACGCTGCTGTTGTAGCTGGCTAATGGCCCACTGGTACATCCGTGGGTTGGATTTCCAGGCTTTATGTTCCCCTATTCTACCAAACCTCACTCTCAATACTTCAGCTTGATGTTGCTTGGCTCCGTTGTTCGCATATTTTATCTGAACAACTGAAATATTTGTGCTGGTTCCGAAATCCAAGTAACCATCCCTTCTTTCAAAACTTAAATTTTTACTTGCTTACGTACTTGCCGCTCGCTCCTGGAACCACTGACGCGGTGGGAGGTTGCACACCCAGGCCATGTTAATACGACTGGCTAGCTGAACAAACTCTTCGTGGTGCCAGCTTGGTGGTTCGGGTTTAACCCGTTCCATCAAATAGTTCGGCTGTAGTGTTCCAGGACGCGGCGGGTTTTCGCCTGGCAAGCGTTCTCCCTACAGAAAACCACAAATGTCCGTTTATCAACATTGTGACGTGGCGAATGTGACTCGCCACAAACTAAAGTCACTGCCCTGTGTATACCTGGATAATTGTATCCAAATCCACGGACATCAATCGTCTATTCTTACATCGCCAACGCTCTCAAACAACGACCAATACAACAGCATACGTACAAGCAGAAGCTATATACATACACCGTACATACGTATATATATCCATGCACACATTCGCTGTTATGGTAAACATGTATTCTTGTTCACATTTTGTTATCATAACATGATCATGCCTGTAAAGGTGTATCTCGCGTTGTCGAGAATTAGAAGGCTATTTATTTTTTTATCCATTTAATACTTCGCTGCAATTTTACATGACTTTATCATTCGCTAGTGAAACAATCAACGCACTGGTAAGATTGTCACTCACACCCAAGTTAACACAGACATTTCGTTGGCTTTCTACTAACCTGATTAGTTGCCATATCCAAAATCTAAGTCCAGTGCGTTCATCAGGTTAGCGTTCTCTGTCATTTTTATTATTATACCTCCACTTCACTTACTAAGCAAAAATGGCGCCTCTGTCATCATTTGCGGAAGTATTTCCTGCTGGTCAGCCTGTGGAAACAAGTACGAAATCTTCCCATATAATGCACTGATTCAACTGTACGCTTTGTATACATGAACACGGCTATACCATCTACAAATCTATTTCATCTCCAAATGAACGATTTTTCTTGCAATCCCATATGAAACGCTAGATTTGCAGCTCACTTTACTTTCTTTTCCCCGGTTTCCACGATAGCAATTCACATCGATACAATGATTATCAATAACGTACGTTGCATTCTCGGATGAAATATCTGTTTCATGTTAGGTCGCAAATGATACCGAAATTTCTCGCTACACTAACAGTCCTGAATAAAACCAGTACAGAATGACCGGATCAGGTTCCGTGGATTGTCTCGCGATAACGACAAATAGAATTAATAACCGCGTGATAAAAAGCCATTTACATCAGCTGAGCATATGCCTGTACATAACGTTTGCTGTGGAAAAAGTACGGAGACGGTATAAGGATTCGGTGACATTGTAGAAAAAGCTGTTTGTGGTCGGTTACCGTCTTGCAGCATATGCACAAAAACGAAACAGTCGCATAATAAGAATCTGTCAGGAAAGAGAAGTAGACGGGGCGAAATCTGCGGTCACATCGGTGTATGTAGTGGCTGCATATACAGAGAGCTGTTTCGCGTACGTCCCGATGAGGTAGTCGTAAAACTCATGTGGGTGGAGTGAATGGCTACGAATCGAATGTGGCTGCAGAAGGAGCAGAGATGGGTGAGTTCAAGGGCGAGTACTCGGAGGCTGTTTCGTTCACGGCAAACAAATCACGACTCATTGGGGACACATGAGTACAGTCCACTGTTTGACTGGTATCCTGCAATCCTTCGTCTTCCCAGATGGCAATGTAATGTCCATCCAGCAGAGGAGGGCCGCCTGGAAACGCGATTAACGCAATGGTTCGATGGCAAAAGGATCGAGCGGCAGGGTTCGGATTGCTTGGAGTCCAGCGGTGAAGACATTGTCCTTCGATACCAGGAAACACGGAGGAGAGACAAGCCGACTGTGGTAGGCATTTCAGCCGCCATTCATCTGAGGGCCACGTTAACTTGTTAGTGTGGCTGTTCAAAATTTGCTTTGGATCCACGATCTGCAAATAATTCCAATACATACCAAATTGGGTTAGAGTATGTGAAAGCGAGCAATGAAGACAAGGGAAATCGAAGTACCTGAGTTATCCAACTAGACAAAGTTAAGCGACCTGGTAATGACAAAGCAAGAGTAGAGACATCAAAAATGCTGATACAGTTCCCTCTGAAAAAGCAACAACGAGTGTTCGAATACGTGACGGATAAGGTCGAGGAAGAGGCAGGCAAAATCACAGCAGTTCAAAGGAGAGAAATGACTATCTAACGGTAAGTAACAGGAAAATAGGTAAAACAGCTCCTGATTAAGCAGTTGAGCCATATCGAATAAAGGTACCCCGCCAAGGGCGACCGATAATAATGCGGCATACAAGCAAGGAAGTGCGCACAGCTAGACAAGAAGTTCCGTCAGTGCCTTTGTATTTCCAAGCAATGTTGTTAAACGACAAACCAGATAAGGTGATGCAGAGGAAGTGACGGGTGATGCGCAATAGAAAGTGACATTAAATAAACTGGGCAATGTAAAAATTCGACTGACAGTCCGGTGGGACATCGGGGTGAAGGTGTTCACTCATCATCGAGTAAATAACGCAGCACATCGAAACTCTACCAGTCAGGTCAGGTCAGGAAAAGATGGCTTCGGTGCACTGAGTTTCGAGTGAATGATTCAGATGACAGCTTCCATCATACTCAAAGTCTAGCGGGTACACAGAGAAAAGAACTGAAGCATAAAATATCCACTATAGACTCTAAGAGACAGCACCGCAGATGAGCACAGACATCAGACAAAAAGCAAATGGAGAGTAGCTAAGTAACAGCAGTTCACCGTGCGAACACTACCAATAGCGTGAGGGCTTGGTTTACTGTGGGGCCGCTCGTTTATATCCAGATCGAAGTTAGCACCTTCGGATTACAACGCAGATACCTTAGCCCTACTGCTGACAGCATTATTGAACCTTCCCCGGATTAATTAACCATCTCCATGAAATATCAACAAGAAGACTGGATAGACTTTATTCTTTGTGTAACGTGTATAACCACCCAAATGTATATCTGGTCCCCGAGCTGTGGTGCACACAATGTAATCTCGCTTTGAATGGTATGCAAAGGCAAAGAGGACGACTACTATTTCTGCGAAGGACGCAATTTTGTTATCGTACGCCACTGACGCCTTAAACTAGGACATGTCTGACTGGATCTCCAAACAATGATTTGGCCCACCTTGAAGCACCCAATCACGAAGACGACGCACACTAGTGTGCAGCGTCATCGACTAACCACATCTCGGTTTCGCACAGCTTGGTGCAGCGATAGCATATGATACTTGCTGAGGAAGGTAGCCAACGGCATACCCAGAATTTGACCTGGTCAACGTAAGCGATCTAACCTTGGGAAACAGTACTTTGTTACAATAAGTGTGTTCTCAAACAATTGGTGGAACTCAACACTGCTCACACGATGTTCCCATCAGAGTTGAGCAATCTTCCGCAAACGTTGATAATTAAAGACGGCAAATTGTTTAATGTCTTCACGTGAAATGACCATGTCTCTGACTTATGGCGGCAACATGGGCGTTGCAGCGTTGCACAGCTTATGTTGAGCGGCGTAATCTAGCAAAACAAACAATGCGCCCCGATTGTATGAGTGCAAGTTAGCATAAGACAATTGCAAACTAAGGTTAACCCGTCGCTAGCAAACACCATCAGGCTGTACGTACTCGGACCCGTCGGGTAGAAGATGCGGTCCCTGTATCACGTGGTGGGACGCTCGAATCCCCATGATTGTGAACAAGTGCACAGAGCGTTGTTAGATGTGCGGAGTGATGGCACTTTTCGATTTCAAGTCGAACAGACTCGCTAGAATCAGTGAAGATCGGCCAACGATAGGCATCAAGCTCATTTGTCAATGCCGAAAGTTGATGGTCTCGACCAGCGCTGAGACGTTTCTTTCGTGATTGAGGAGTGTTTTGTGCAGATCCTAAACGACTGCGTTGGGTCACTTCGACAGCATTCTCTGCGAAAACAAAGGAAAACTGAAAATGCACCACGATAAGGCATGACGTGTCAGCCATAAGAAGACGTGAAAGCGAAACTCACCGGGGATATCTGTAGATGGACTTGGATGAGTACCACGACAAAATCGGGAGTAAATGCGTCTAAAGGCTAATCGAATGAAGTAGGCAAGATTTCTGAATGATAATTCCGGTCCAGCCACTTGACTGAACTGTGTACTTGTACCCGTAAAACTGGTGAGAATGGGGCTCACATAGATGGGATAACCGATTGGGGGATCACAGCTGGAATTGACTAAGTTACGTAATACATGTTGCGCGCCTTGAATACTTCCACGCTCTGGGTTGGTGTTTCGTACGAAAATCTGCTCACGCTGCTGGCCAGCCCAAAGACCACGAACGCATTCCGGGTTGATCTATGAAGAAGTTAGAATGAAATGCTAAAAGTGACGAAGTATTGGATATATAGATAAAGTTATCGTTAGAGGTTTCCCATAGATTATTTCTCAATCAGGCCCAAAATTATAATGACTGGAAGTATCAGTGTTGCCCCAATGATTCGAACAGGTGTTGCTGACGGGAAGCGAGTGACTGACACTTCAGCAAAAGACAGTGCGTCGAAACTGTAGTTTGACTAGTAAGCGGCGTCGTCAGTGTCGGGTTGACATAAGCTGGAATGTATGCCTCGAAGGCATGTGATGATGTATCGTGTACTGCGCAAAAAAGGAGTGGAAAGTTGAAGGAAGTGGATGGTCAGAAAGTTGTGCGAACAGCTGGTTATTAGCTTGCTCGTGGCTACTACGAACTCCAATGTATGGGAAGTGTATGACAAGATGAATGCGGACCAAATGAGCATGATGTGTGCATTGTTGGGGAGAATAGGAGCCCTGCCGGCAGTCCGACTTTAATTTCTACAAGTTGGACAAACTCCGCTACGGCCAAAACAGTAAAGACACTTTAGATGCAGGAGACAAGGTAGATTGACTTCTCTTAATATCAACCAAATGATGACTGTCTTCGCAAGGAAGAATTCACTGCAGTTTTGTTCACGGAATGTGAAATTGTCACGACAGAAAAATGTCTCGCTTTCTCTCGACTATACTCAGCCAAAATAAAGGCTTCAGATGAGCTATGAATAAGTCATGCATGTGATACCGGATAGATTCGCCACTTGCTGGACTAGAGACCGGAGAAGCCCCGGTCAATGAGTCCTTCCAATTAGCAACACCATAGGACATCAAACAACAAATAATCTGGATTATACAATACTAGTACAGAGAAAAATGGCAAAAATGAACACTAGGTGATTTATTCTCTATAGAGCATCACTACAGAGCTGATCAAATACACAGGCATGTAAACGTTCAGCCCTCTACTTCGCATGGTCTAACTGGACGTAGTTGCTAGGTCAGTGGGATGTGTGTAATTCAGGATAAAATAGCACGGGAGTTGAGATATTCAAGATATGGCAGGTACACAAATTTTCTTACCGGTTAATTTCAGCGGTAAGGCACTCCAAACACGAACAAGCATAGTGGCGAAAATTAATGCATTAAGCCACTAGACTTCCACTTTCTATGACGAAAAAATAGGTTCAGTGCTTCTTGTTTTTTTGTTTGCTCAATTTATGCATGAACACAAAATCCCTGTAAGTGTTGACTTGACCACTCAATGTATCGGCGTCTCGTGCAGTTGGGAAAGACACCGTTATTCATCTGAGGCATGCCATTTGGTCGCCAGAGAGCATATAATATATCGATCCCGGGGTTATTGTGGTCTTCATAATAAGCTTGGCCGATAAATAAACTGAACGATAGAGTCACTGTTACCTCTTCGTTGAGGAAAGCGTTTATCGATGCGCGCGTGATTGTTTAATTCTTGGGAGTAGCCAATATGCTCTATTCCACCGGGGGTCACACCAGCGTAGCAATGACTGGTAAAACCGACAGTTGCTGGTAACGTGGTATGGATAAGAAGTGTGTCCATGGTTGCTGGGAGACTGACATGATGCGAGAGGGGTGGACCTCCATTATCAGTCCGGTGACCATGACGCGAACCAGCAGTGTACACGTGCACGCGATGGGTGTGAGGTGCTGGCGTTGCCGAGATGCCGCTCTACACTGGCGAATGACACAGGCAGGTCACTACGTCACTTATGGATATTAACAGACAAAGGCGTTGGAAACGCACAGCAATTACGCATCTGATGCGAACTCATAACGAACAAGCATTTTGAAAGATCCAGTACCCGAGAATCATCCGTACCTTGTTGGTGCATCAAAGTGTATATCTATATCGGTTGCAGGATTCAGCACACGCTTACGATAATCGGGTAGAACAGGGTGGTGCATCGAAGATAATGAAGTAAAGTTGAACCGCCAAGGACCGCTCACTAACAGCAGCAATCGTACAAACGAAGTAGCAACAAGAGCAAACCCATCACTATGAAAGGAGCCTGACCGAAAGAGCATGAATACTGTGAGAATTCAGAATGATTCAAATCATGTATCAGTTGCGATGTGACGCGACAGGAACTTAATCTTCCCGGAAGACTTATTTGCTGACTAAGACAAGACGAATGAAAACGACCCATTGGTTCAACAGCATGCATCGTAAAAAGGACAGTATTCACGACGTTCGCCAACCTCAATAAAAGATGCAAGATAGTAGAAACTGCACACAGTATCGTGGACAAACAGGATTCAGGGGGAAATTAATCACCATAAACATTAAGCCGCAAGCGAAACCAGAAAGCACGTTTAAGAGAACGATACCCAAACCCTGAGAAACGTTGTGCGGGCTAATCCGGTTAACTGACAAGTACGGGATTACAATAGAAATTTCGTATGCATCTTTGAGAGTGTCGCATTCTAGTAGACAAATTTATACTTGAAAACTGCACCAAGCGAATGACAAGTGTAAAGACAACGCGCGAGGGACTGTCCAAGAGTGGTGGACCATTATTCCATGCCAAGTTTAGAATGAAAATGCATTCAAATAAGCTGCACTTAAAGTACGCATTCAGTTCAGCTCACCTTAACAGCGCAAAATTGAAGTTTGCTTTTAGTCAGCTGAATAAATCTGTACATGTCATCCGTATTCGCTCCGACCCAGCGGATAGAGAATAAGGATGGGGCGTCATTGAGAATGGCGAAACGCCAAGTCGGATCAGTTTCATGGCAAATCACAAAATTGCGTTCTGTATGTACAATCTTGCGATACAGCGCACTGTGTGCGAAGTCAGATGCCCATAGAAAATAATCCTGAGAAAAACAGAGGCGAGCGTATCAGGGGCGAGCCTCAAATGGGGTCATAAGATACAGCATTATTGGAAAGGGACAAACCTGATACAATTTCAAAGCGACACGCATGGCCGGTGTGACTACAGATTGCAGCAAATCCAAATCGACCAGCACCCATTCGTCCTTAGTCATGACTTTGATGTCTCCTTTGAAAACGTCATGAATGCCACGGAGCACCTGATCAACACTGAAAGGAGGTGGGGGCAAAGAGCTGGAGTTGACCTGATACCAAGCGAGCACTCAACAAGGCGAAGCAACGTTAGTCTGGTGACTCGAAACAAGAGAATGAAGAAGTGTGGCAGACATTGAGACTGTGCTGAGTACAACATGGTTCCTGACTAGTGATGTGGTGGAGAACAGACGTCAACTCGATGCGGGCATCCGAGAAAGTTCACAAAACCTATTCTCGATACCATCAACCGGACAACTCGGAGATACAAGCAAACCATGATCAAACGAATGAGATGACTGCAAACTCGTTGTCGACTGACCGACCTCAGCAGCACTCCATCGGCGATTCCAGCTCATATAGGCGATTCATCGCAGGAATCAGTGGTCAAAGACCCCTCCCCTGCATAGCGGCAACGTATTCAATGGAAACAGTGAACAGGTTATGTTACAGAGTTGTACTCAGTAAACTGAGATGTAGTGGGTTATTGAAACGAAGCAGGGGCCCAGGGAGCTGATGCCGTCTGTCATGGAAAGCCGGTATCAACTCAACAGTGCGCACCAGAGCAAACATCAGTATCAAAAATGCTTAGATTTGCGTGAAGAATCGTTTACAGTGAAATAAAGAAGAGACCGCGCCGAATGCACAAAAAGCATATCACACATAGCAGCGTTGTAAAGTTGTGAGAAAAATGAATGAATTACCGAGAGCAACTAAATGACCTGTAGCTTATGACATCCGATACGTTTACAGACAATAACACAAAAAACAGAAGGACACTGTGCGGAATTTTAACGATCAGTGGTAAATGTGGCCATCCAAGCCAAAAGGAAGTACGGACCAACTAATTCGTTAACTTCACCCGGGTGATACCTGTATCTGTTCACATTATACTAAAATCGCCAGTTGTAACACTTCGTGAACACTTGTTGATACAGAAAAGTCGACGAAAACTTCCGGAACAAGCCAGAAGTCCGCGATCCCCATGCACCCGCAGGAGACAGATCAATGTTGTCACGGATGTAGAATGCATCATCGGAAAGTGAGCAGATTGAGGCAAATGAACGGATGCGCATCAATGTACTGAGCACAGATACAATATGAAAAGCAAATATATCGGTCGAATGACTTTTGGAGCATTGGAACTAGCAGAACCACTGGGAGCGTAGGCATAGACTAGCCGGCTATTTAGAATTTGTCGCCTTGAAGTTAGTAATAGCCGATTGTTCTGCTTGAACAGAACAGCAACCAATAGTTTGTTTTTGACTCTCCAGAGGGCTACATGACAAGGTAGTTCGGGTGTCATCATCATAAACAGCAGTACATCAGCTATTTGAACTGATGCTCGGCTGTTATACAACCATAACAACCTACGGAACGAAAAATAATAAGAGGGATAGAGAAGGGGGGCTTACGGGAAAACCTTAATGCCCTATGCAAACATTCAAAGTCAAGGCGCCTGCACCTTGTCAACAAGCCATCACAAACAGCTGGCTAACGTGCAAAGGTAAGGTGGCACTGGCGAGACAGATTCCTTGCGGCTTAACTGTCCCGCGTCATAATTAACCATTACCATGCAGGTAACTCAGCACAAAATACACGTTATACATGCATTCCGAGTAGGAGACAGCAGAGACGCACCACTACCGCCGACTGCGAGCCATGTGCTGTAACGTCCAAGTCAAGCACAAGGCGGGTCACGTGGATTCCAGCCTGGAAGGCGAGACGGACCAAAGGCATCTAGTTTGGTCGTAAGTTACTTCATTTTACGCTGCAAAGTTAATTTTTGTCCACCTCCAGCCTTACGCCACTCTATTTATGGCAGACAAAAAATACCCTCCTAGGTAGGCGGTGACCAAGCATACGTAATACGTGCCTAAGCCAACGCAACTTATTAAGTGCTACCTGCTGCCTAGTACTCGCCTGCTCATATCATCGTTGCGGATACGCTAGTGCCACCCGACACTAGCAATGCTCCGCAGACAACGAGGATCAAAGACCTGAAGGCGCCTCAGATCTTCAACCGAAGGGGCCAAGTCTCACTCCCATAGAGTGGGACGGCCCTCACTGTGGCATTGTGTACACAGCCTTTCAAAAGGAGGGAAACTCCCTTCTATTGCCGAAGATGTCGCAGATTCAATAGGGTACTTTTGTCTTGTGCAATACGTGAACTGACTTCAGCTGCTATGCAACCAGCATTGCTGAGACAGCTGCCAAGGTAAGTGAACTGATCAACTACCTCGAGTGCCTAGCTACCAAGGGACAAGGGATCATCAACACTGCACTTTAAAGGTGGAAAGCACATACAAAATAATAGTACCGATCTAGTGAGGTTACGTAGAGTCGATTGAGCAGCCACAACATCGTCAAACAGCAAGAGGATAACATCTGCATAATCGAGATCAATCTGCTTTTCACCAGGTAACACCTCAACGCCTACATCGTGAGATTCATCTAGGGAACACTCCAAGAGGAAATTCAACAAAAATGGGGAAAATGGATAATCCTGACGAATGCCACTTGTTGTCGGAAAGCTACCCGACAGGTCGCCGTAGAAACTGACGCGGCCCGCAGTTTCGTGGGAACACCTCACCACGCAAGTATTTCGAAAAGAATGCATAATAATAATAATAATAAAATAAATCGCCAGCTGTACGCCGTAACGGCGCTTCGCTGCCATGCGACCACCATCAGTCGCGCGTGGGGTGAGTATACCGCGAGGACGCCCGCCCCTACGCGGATTCGAATGCATCGATCAGCTGAATCAAATGTATTCCTGAAATCGAGGAACACAGCCATTGTAGACCTGCGGTATGCGTGGCGCTATTCCAGCACCTGCCACAATGAAAATATGGCCTATATAGTCACCTCTTTGGCGGAAACCTGCCTACTCTTCCCTAATCTGGGATTCTTTTTCCACAGTGAGACGACAAACGAGAATCGGGGCCACATCCGGCGTTACGCTAATACCCCTCTGATTAGCACAATCTGTGCGACCGCTCTTCTTGTATATTGCCACCATAATCGATACACTCCAGTTAGCCGGGACGCTATTTTATTCCCAGACATGTTCGAACAGGGAGATCAGTGCTTTGCAGAGGACCTCATCGCCATCCCTAAATAGCGCAGGTGGGAATCCGGGTCAGCAGCATGAAAATGATTGAGGGCCGCGATCGCGTTTTGGACGTCAGCTACCGATGGAGAACGTAAAGTAACCGGTCATGGCTCGTGCTGAAACATCTGAGGCTGCCAGAGGCTGCCGCATCAGTGTGTCTGGATGCGTGCAACCAATAGCGAGAGAAGAATTCGGGCGCGGTTAATTCAACAACCCCATGAGGGTCATTGATCCTAACTTCAGCTACGGAAGACACGCCAATAGCCAGTGTGCCCAACTTGTGAGCGTGCGAGTGCAACCTGTTGACCTATTTGTCTTAGAGTGCGAACGTTGAACGCCGCCATGGAAACTGCACAGCGTGGCCTTATAAGGGACTGTGGCCGATAGGCGTCCAGTGGGTGGTGCTGGCATGGCTCCAGTGGCATAACGGCTGCTGCCTATTAAGCTGGGAATCCTGAAAAGAAGGTTAGTAAATGAGAGTTGAGAGGAGAGACAGGTGGAAAAGAAAGAAGAGAGGCGCCATCACTAGCAGGTCTACGTTTATCCGCCCTGCTGTTTACAGCAGATAAGGTGACCCATCATAATCCGCGCGATGGCCGATGCAGGATGTAGTTTATGTTTGCAGAAAAAGTCATGGTTGTATGTGGGCTGAGATACTACCAGGGCGCTCAGACGTAGACAGGAGGACGATCAGGGTCCTCAACCAAAGACTTTGGCTCAAGTCTGTCCGCAAGGCATCGGGGAGGTAGCAATGATTTAGTTCTACAAAAATAGACGTCATCCCATTTCAAACACCCAACCTGGAGGATCAGGAGACTGAGTTTGTTTGACCTCTAACCATTGACCAACCTGGTAGGAGTAGCTATTAAGTGTCCCTGATGCACCACCAAGTATAGCTCGATGGGTCGAAGAGGTACGCAAACCGTCGCACCACGTGCAGTTTGGTTGCGACGGATAATACGGAATATGATTAAAATTGTAAAATAATTACACAGAATCATGGCGTGTCCAGTACAAAAAAGAATAAAAATTAATGAGACTGGTAAGCTGCAATAGGACCAATAAAATTCTAGCAAATAAAGTAGCCCCTCACAGTTGTCTGACGACGCTAGACATGAACTACGAAAGTGAAGTCCACACACTGGAAGGCAACGCCTTTTACTATTTGTTGACCGGAGACTATTGTACGTGTTCGCGCGAGTACCGTCAGAAATGATGTTTGCATTAAAGCATCATTACAATTTAAACAGAGAGCTACTTATCAGTACCGTCAGGATACAAAGACCACTGCATGGATGAGATGTGGTTCAGTTTAATAACGTAACTAAGCAATTGTGTCTAACCTTATGGTGACGGACGGATGACATGAAAAAGGGAAAAACCAACTAGTACACAAGTTTGCTGCGAAAAGCGAAGTACCTACTCGTAGTTTGCTACTTGGGTGCCTCCCATGCATCGACGTCCGAGAAGACACAACGCGTAGCACAGTGTCACCATTGGCGACTCTGGATCACAGGAGACAGTGCTCTGGAAGAAATAGTGCAGAAGTATAAAAAGACAAAGTATGTAATGGAGATGAACACAGAAAACAATGCGAACGGATTACACTGAATGACCAAGGAAAACAGAACGGACCTCATGGTTAAGCGATTTGTCGCACAGTTGTATCAGGACGAACCTGTTTTGGAGGGGGTCAGTGATTAGCAGGTCGAATTCATCAGAGTTTAACTGGGGAATAAACAAAGTCTACACACACACGTGATCTGAAGAGAAAAGAATCAGTGCGCCCCACTAAAGAGCAGTTCCGCTGCTAAATCTCGTTTGCCGGATAGTCGAAAAGAAAATTTTAGACGGTGTTTGAAGGGTGATGCTGTTTCAGTCAAGTTACGGCCGTCATCTAACTGACTCAACCCAATATAATAATAAAAAAATAAAAGAGAAAGCTACAGCGTGCGGACCAGCGTGTTCACTAAAAACGGGTTCTTATTTCCTACATGAAGCAAGACGGAGAATCGCAAACGCAGAATATCATAGAAGACGTCTTGTCGGCTAATAATGACTTATCATATAAGTTCATTGTATGAACTCCCAAGAGTCCAAGTCATGTAAATGAGGAACGACAGCGGCCAGGCGGGTGTTAGAGTGAACTGCTTCAGTCGAAAAGCAGCGTAGACGTACGCTCTTCGAGTAACGGGCAGATAACAAGATCCCCACAACAGAGTCGAGGGACCCTGAAAATTTATACGAATAATGCTTGTCGTCGTGACCCCTAAGTTAGACGGCAAATATTTCGTAATTCGTTATAGACAATGGTTTCTGTGAAGTTATTATTTCGAAAAAGAGCGAATTCCGCAAGCTTTAAATAGCCAAATTGCTGCGTGATCCAATAATACCCCTCCATTTGATCTTGAGGTGGTTGACTATGGAACTAAGCAAAAATGAGTACACCGGATGGGACCCTCGTTTGAAAGATTTAAAAGGGTGAGCAAGCTCAGACTTTCAATGTAATGGTAAGGTTAAACGAGCTCGTGATCGGGCTAATAGGATTATTTAGACGTGGTGTTTGAAGGCAGCCAAATGGCTGTTGCCGATGTTGCTGGTCGTAGCCTAAAGATAACGAGCTTGTCTTGGAAACTGACGGTGCGGGTTCGATCCTGCGTAGGGTCAAGGTGCAGTATCCTTAGCCGACGTGCGATTGGTGGTGATTGCGTTGTAGCGAAGCATCGGTACTGCGTACCGGAGTACTGCTGATGTTTTTCTTCTTTTTTCTGTGTGACATCCATCCAACGGCAGACGGTTGCTTAAACAATCCGGCAGGAAGCTAATCGACGACAACAAGCAGTAAGGGGCGTTTGTGAGACCCAGGAAAATCAAGTGCAACCAGTGTTACTTTTGTAACACCTACGTAACATCATGTGTCGCAGAAGTTCATGGAGGTCAGTTACACAGACTACTCGTAGTGTTGACCTGGCATCGTAAAGCGATCATTAGGTCAAAGAGTGATTCACAATCTTGCATTGTAATTCCGATGAAGGTGATCTGTTCCGAGTGTCCTTATGTTAAGTGCAGACAGTTGCGTGTGATACTGAGGGGCTGCAAAGGCAACAGTGGCCTGAGTTTTATCTTCGTCTCATGCTTCCCAATAGTCCGGCAGAGAGGTCCCTGTATGTTTGTTAAAGCAAGCTTTCCCTAAGCTGAAGTGTTGCGCAAGTTCGCCTAGGATCGGCAATTCATCGATAGTTCTTAATATCATTCTAAATGAATGGAAATTGGTATACAAAATCGCTAAACACAATCCTATTGAGGTGCAAATATCGGCGGAGACAAAGGGTCATCATCCTGGTCAGAGATACGCTAATCGATACAAACGACAGACTAGATACTATCAGAGTTTGAAGCCAAAAGCGCACTACTCGGATTAAAGTCGCCAGTCGTCATCAATAATGCACAGCGCTGCTCTGTCCTAATGATTTGCTAACATTCTCTTCAGCAGCTAACTGGGGACTGATCCTCCCTGCTTTTGTACAACCAAGGTGACCTACGGAAGTAACAAAAAAATAAGAGGGAGAAAAGCGGGGGCGCAGCATAAACCCTTGGTGCCCTACGCAAACACAGTGGGTCAAGACGCGTACACCCTGTAGAAACAACATATCGTAACAAACAGCTAGCTATCGTGCGAAGAAAAGCCGGCATCATCCAGACATCTTGCGGCTTGCGCTACCCCGAGTACTAATCAACCATTGCCTTGCAGATAACTCAGCACTAAATATTTTTAAACAGGCAATACGACTATGAGACGACAACAGATGCAGCACTGATGCGAAATACTAACCATGTCGTGTAAGGTCTTGAGTCAAGCACAAGGCGGGTCACGTGGACTCCAGCCTGGAAGGTGAGACAGACCAACAGCACCAAGTTTTGTAATTAGTAACTTCATTTTCCGCTGCCAAGTTAACTTTTGCCCACCTTGAGCCATACACCACCCTACATATGGCAAATGAAACAAAGCCTTGCTCGGTAAGCGGTGATCGGGCATATGTAGCACGTGTCTAAGCCAACGCAACATATTCAGTACCATCTGTTGTTCGAAAGAACCAGCCTGATTATCACTGTCTAGTACTCACCTACGCACATCATGTTGCGGACATGCTGGAGCCATCCGAGACTAGTAATGCTTTCGCAGGAAGCGATGATCAAAAACTCGATGGGGCCGCAAGTTCTCAGATCTAAGGGGTCAAGTCTCACTCCCATAGAGCAGGACGGCCCTCACTGTGGCCTTGTATACACGGTCTTTAAGACCGAAGGAAACAACCTATTGACGCCACAGATTCACGAAGGCAAATCTAACTTTCGCAACAAAAATAACTAAATATTTTATTCTCGACAAGGCAACGTACGTCTTTACAGGCATGATCATTTTGACATAAAAATGAGTGATCAAGAATGTGCAAAAATCCGATATGTTTGCCATAACAGTGTATGTTTGTGTAGCGGGGTATGTAAGTATGTACTTGTGTGTGTGTGTGTGTGTATGTAGCTGTGTAGTTTGTGCTTGTAATTGTGCTGCTCCATTCTTGAATGTTTGATATCGTCAGCAATGTGCGAGTAGAAGTTTGGTGTCCGTGGGTTGGAAAGGATTATTCGGATATCCACGGGGCAGTGACTTTATTTTGTGGCGAGTCACATTCGCCACGTCACAGTGTTATTAAGCAGACATTTGTGGCTTTTTATAGGGAGAATGCTTGCCAGACGTAAAACCACCAGGTCATGGAACACTGCCGCAGAACTATCTGCTGTGACGGGTTAAACCCGAACCACCCAACTGGCACCACGAGGAGGCTGTTCGGCTAGCCAGCCGTGCTTGCGCGCCCATCGTTGCTGATGCACTTACCAAGGTAAGTATTTGATCAACTACCTCGACCTTCTCGTTACCAAGGGTCAAAGGACCAACAAGTGGCTGGCGGTCTTGCAACAGCACTACACTTTGAGCCGCCCCAGTATCGTTAAACAGAACGATATCGTCCGCATAAGCAAGATAACTTAGCCTTTCAGCAGACAGCACCTCAACACCTGTATTGTGAGACTCTCACCGAGGCTCCTCTACGCTACGCTACGCTATTGAATGCCACTCCACTACGCACTGATGATGTCACCTCGATTGGTGACGAAACGTTTGCAACAAAATTGCCAAGCTCAGCGCACAGTTCAACAGCATTGTGAGATCTCGCAAGGGAACACTCCATGATGCAGGCCACGACAAAAATGAGGGAATTGGACAATCCTGACGAACTCCACTTGTGCAAGATATTCGACATGTCACCGTAGACCCTGATGCGGCTTGTGTTATTCGAGCACAGGGCAAGTAAAATGTTCGTCTAACCAGTAAGCAGTAACCAACTTGGTAGGAATAGCTCTCAAGGGGCCCGAGGCATCATCTAGTATAGCTTAATGCCTTGAAGAGGTACGCAAATCTTCTCACCACGGTAAGATCCAGTCTCATTTTTATGGCAGTTGTAGTATGGATGCAAAATATCCGTAGAGCTGCAGCTGTCGCAAGAGAAGCTGGTACCTCCAGCAGGGATAGTGGTAAAAAAATGAGGCGGGCGTGAAACTAATGGAAAAAAGAGAAGCAACAGTTGTAGACTGTTACCGCCTATGTTGCATGATGAAACCGCCAGGAATCCACCTTAGGTGGTATAAAGTCAGCGGTGGGAGAAGAAAGTGGTAGGACCCTCATCCGAAGGCGTTAGTCCAAAAGCCTAGGCAAAGGACAACGGGAACAAGTCAAAGGTCCACAAGATAAGAAAGCCTTAGAAAGGAAAGCCAACAGAGTTTCAGATCATAGCGTAGAAGCCTAGGAGATTGAATTTGTCCTGCCTCCAGACATTTGCCATGCTAGCAGCAGTGACTTCCAGTGCAACCGATGGCGGCAAAATGAAAAGCAAAATGGACCGCGAATGGGTTCAAGCAAACCGTTACAGCGGCCTCTAGCTACACGGCGACGGGATATAGAGAGTAAGGATTAAGATTTCTATTCCCAAAACGCAACTTGGCGCCGAACAGCATACTGCAGTGAAGCGTGTCACTAAGGTGCTGAAACGCGTAACGTTGGGTGACACTGGTGAATGCCGCTGGGGTTGGTATGGGAGGAGTGCAACGCCGATACATACATTTGATCGCCGACTTCTCCTGAGTAGCATCAAGTCAGGTGAGCGAATTGAATTGCACGAAACGACGATGTACACAGCTCCGATATGTAGTTTGAAGACACGATCGCATCGATGCGAATATCACAAGCTTATACTAGTTTGTTGTTAACGGATAGCTATCAAGTGGTGGGACTGCAATTGCAAACATCGTTCTGCAAGTAGTCTTAAGGAGTACAAACCTGCCGTATAATCCTGAGGTCGCAGGTTTTAGGCAGTGTATGGAACCGGGCGACGATCGCAGTATTCTTAGCTGACGAGAGACTGGCGGTGGTTGCGCGGCAGCACGGTGTCGGTACCGCGTAGCGTCGTAATAGTTGTAAAGTCCAAAAGGAACTTTGATGTGTTCACCAACCTGGATTGCTTACTTGAGGATACGGTAACCCTATTTCCTAATTATCCTGCCCATTTTACATTGTTTTCACTCTGTTTGCTAAAATCGGATTCCTTGTTGTACATTTATTCCTGGTTACGGTGCTGTTCTATATTTGCGTTGTGAGATTGTGGAAGGCAATGTTAATAGTTTCCTGATTATTAGAAAATTGCGTGCCAGTCCCATTAGAACCGTGTCGATACCAAGGTTGGAGCTCACTGCTGTCGTACTGAGCGTGCGCATGTCAGTGAAAGTTAGAGAGATGGCACTTCATTGTAGCACAACATTCTGGACAGACTCGATGGTAGTTCTGAAGCTTCTTCGAAGTGTTAATGGGTGTTTCCCAACGCACGTTGCTAACCAGATTATTATTATTATACAACAGCACTCTCACCCCAGTCAGTGGCACTACGTAAATTCGAAGCAGAACCCCGCTGATATAGCCTCACGTGGACTCGCGATGTCGCTCAAGAAGAAAATAAACCAATGGGCCACATGCGCCATGATTTCTCGTTCAGCCCCATTCGCCATTACCCATGCATCCGGAGAATCTGGGTGAATTACCGCCTGAATGGCTACGACCCAAAGTTGGTCAGGTTTTCTTGGTCACTTTGGAGGAACATTGGATTAATAAATGTAAGGCTTACCCGAAATGGACTTCCCTGCACAAATCTTTCGTTACCTTCTAGCGATTCAAATCTTATTTCGTGGCCAAATACCTGAGGCACCTGACCAACCAGCTGCGATAGAAAGTGCTGAAATTCAAATAGTTAACTTGGTGCAGTCAGAAGTTTTTGCGTAAGAGATGCGCCTCCTTGCGTACAATGAATACGACATAGCAGTTCGAAATTTAACACAGAGGTCATGCAGATTAAGACGACTTAAGCCATTCCTCATTTATGGGATACTTCGTGTGGGCGGAAGGCTGGATCAATTCTCGGTACCGTACAACGTGAGGCATCCGATTTTACTTCCCGGCCGCCAGTTTGTCACTCGCCTTCTTATACTTCGCTACCACTACATCAATAGACACTCTGGTGCGCAGCACACTTTGTACAATCTCCATGGACGTTACTAGGTTGTAAATGTGCCAAATGCCGCGTTAATCATGCGAAGCCACTGAGTCAGCTGATGACACCAGTTATAACAGACCAATGTCTGACCCACCAACCAGCGTTCATTGCAGTAGGGATCGACTATTTTGGACCACTGATAGTGAAACGTGGCCGCGTACATGAAAAGAGATATGGCTGACGGTTCAGTTGCTTGAGTACAAGGGTAGTGCAAACCGAGATTTCCCACTCTATAGATACCGATTCGTTCTTGTGTGCGTTTTAGAGGTTTTCAGCTAGACGCGGCTGGCCGGCTGTAATATACAGCGATAATGGACAGAATTTTCACGGAGCTGAAGCAAAATTACGCAATCTTCTGAAGCAGCTGGATCAGACGAAGAGCACAAAATCTATGTTGGCTAGAGGTTGACTGGAAGTTCAATCCCCTATGTGCTAGCCAACACGGAGGTCTTTGGGAACGATTGATTCGATCGACTCGAGAATTATTACACAACATTCCCAAGGACGAGTTGTGACCGAAGAGATACTTGCAACGACACACACAGAGGTCGAAAGGATATCGAATGTCAAACCCTTGGTAGCGGTACCCGACCCCCGAAGTCTCAACATGCTATATCGCCTCAGCAACTTTTAACGCTTGCAAATGATCAATCGCTTGAATACCCACCGATCCACTTACTAATCAAATTGAACAGAAGGTGGAGACAGGTAAGACATCTGTCCGATATGTTTTGGCGTAAGTGGATCAGAGTATATCAACCGATATTGCAGAAAAGGCAGAAATGATTAACTGATATCCGAGATCTTAGGCAGGGCGACTTAGTTTTTGATTTACGCACATCAACAGGTCTGTGGCATAAGGGTGTCGTGGAGGAAGTTATCAAGAGCAAAGACCAATTAGTTAGACAAGCACTGGTGAGGACAAGCAAAGATGTAGTGAGAAGGACGTCAGACAACAATGCCTGCTAGAAGCGGACCAGGAAGAAGAGGATGATGATGTGAAAGCTAACGTCCAGAATACGAAACTGCCGGGGGAATGTAAAGTCCAAAAGGAACTTTGATGTGTTTCACAATGGATTGCTTACTTGAGGACACGAGAACCCTATTTCCTAATTATCCCGCCCATTTTATATTGCTTTCACTCTGTGTGCAAAAATCGGTTACCATATGGTATATTTATTCCTTTCACTCTCGAGCACTGACATTTCCTTGACGGTTCAAGGTCATCCATGGTATTCTGTTACTGTGAGACTGCCCAAATTCCCGCACGCTTTAAAATTTCTGACCTCTTGCACTAGGATTGCAAAACTTATTTGTATACAATGTACTGTATTTAATTTACCTTATAAAACCACGGTTACAGGATAATTTGTTTTATTCTTCTGCCCAGACCGTGCGTTAGGTCTAGGTTTACTGGTTCATAGTTTCAAGTTTAGGTTTCGTACCACATACTTAGTTTAGGCTTCGTATCGTTGGTACAATGGTAATGTGACTATTTTCGTCCTGAGAAGAAAGCAAACACTTAAGACGCAACATGGCCCCCGCGTCAGATAAGATAACGCACACAAACATTCTTTTTCCTATAGTTCACTCAATGAATTATCTTTTCATCCAGCGATAGCGCAGTTGTTCAGTGTGTCCGATCTGCACGTCATGACTGTAGATGATGAGCAACGAAGAGACTAACTAAAAAAAGAGTAAGAGCGCGTGAAGATCAAAGGCACTCCATAAGGCAAGCTGTGTGGTGAGGTGGAAGTCATAAGGTATATGTACCACACAACCAAGGAAACGTGAGGAAATGGGGTGACCAGCTAAACGATGACAAACTCACCTGGTATTCATGTTTTCTCGAGACACAATAGCGGATCCAAGCTGAATAGATCTGGACGAATCGATGTCTTGTTACTCCATTGAATTGTTCATCAAAGTCCTCGTCGATCGACTTCAAGAACACAGGATCTAAGTCAAAATGAGATGCTTCAGAGAAATTGTTGGAATTAAGATACGGGGCGAGGTGCTCCAAACGTTTAGGAAGTTCAGGAAGCAACGAGACGTAGTAGATTATGCACTAAAAAAGAAGAAGGGATAGTGTATGTATAACAATGAGTAAGAACCGAACATATGGATTATCAGTCGACCCGTTTTTTAAGTCCAGGGATTATTTGAACCGCATAAAAGAGTAACGCGCCAAAAAAGCATGGTGGCCAAATCAGTGATCAGGGAAGGACATCCTCACTGGCTGAGTGAGAATAGCCAGGGATAAGATGCTTCCGAACTGGATGAAGGCGCCAAAAATGATTCAAAGAGGAAAACCTGGTTAGACGTACATAATGGAATATATTCATTATGATTATAGACCTTAGGTAGAGGTCGGAAACAAAACAGCTGTTATGTAGCAACATTAAGCAATCAAATAGAAATGGGAAAAAAGAGAAAGAAACAACAAATAAGAAATGAAAAATAAAATTATGCGTCGAGGATGAGGTCGCGGTTGGAAGGTGAGGTTGAGCAGGATAGGGAGGGCTAAACGAACTCCCAACACAAACACCACTGAGGTCAGCTATTCGCCATGGCAACAAGTGCCTCTAAACAAACCTGTTCAAACTATTCAGGACCCCAGCACATGAGCCGAGAAAGCTCCAAAATAGGGCAATTCCATTCTCCTTGATTGAGTCATCGATTGGTCTCGCCTCTTCTTCTACCTTGGTCGCACAAACAACGCACGTTGCGGGAGTCGCTGTGCTGGCCGAAATGACACATGAGCCAGGTGTCGGATCCTGATGTGCAGAATAATCATTCGGTTCACCTGCTTTTTGCTCGCCACAAACAAACAGCGAATATGCTCATTACTAACGCGGTGTTCCTTCCGGAATAAGAGCTAAAGTGTGACAAACCTTTTATATCTGCTGATTTCGTAGGTCAGATTTCACAACAATACTGTAGGATTGTATAGATGTCTGCATTGTAGAGTGATGTGCGAAGCGTCTTCTGCTTTTGGCTATGCGGTTCGTAACGTTATCCGCTCTTTCACATGCCCTTACAAAGTTGCTCAGGTCTCTGGAGAAAGATATCATACCAACGCCAGAGTTGGCGATTAGCAAAAGCTCCTCGGATTTTGGCTACACGGTTCGTAACCTAGTCCTTTAGCCCACCGCCGCTGACGTAGCTGTCTCTAAACTACTTCTATCTGCTCTCCACCAGCAGCCAGTGCACGGGGTGATCCATAAAAATCTTGGAGAAGGACTGCATATCTAGAGTGCAAAACACAGTCCGAAACGATTGACATCCAGTGCTACTTGGAACGTTTGGCAGTTGCCACAGATTAGGGCAACGTCGTTGGCACACTCCAAGTCAAGAGATCGATCACCAAGAAGCAGCTCCACAGCTTATAAGTCGTGTCAATTGAACGTTATTTCTATGACGTCGTAAATGACAAAGTAAAAAAGGAAAGATGACAGAGGGAAACCTTGGCTCGTACCCACGGAAATATTGGAGGGCGGTGACAGTTTGTTAGAGCCAAGGAAAAAAAGCGATCCGACGTTTCCATATTTCGCAAACACACATTTCCTGAACAAAAGTTTTTAAAGCGTAAATTGATCCACCGATTCGAAAGCGCCTTTGAACTCGAGGTCCACGAATATGTTGGATCCTCAGTGTAAGTGGCGGAGCTAAAACAATCGATTAAACTGAAGGTATGATCAATGAAGCCTTGATCTCGACGTAACCCGGCCTGCTGGACACGAATCTAGCGTGCCCAAGCGCCAGTTTACGTGCAAAGGGCGACAGAGAGGAGTAGGAAACGGAAACCAGACTGAATTCAGAGTATTCTGTTGAAATATTTTTCTTACGTCATTTGAAATTTGTGTAGGGAAAGTTCTGGTTGACACAACTACGATAACCACATTACGAAAGTTAGCCCCCTTGAAGATGGGTACAATAACTGAGCAGACATATTCGGTTGAGGTTTCTTGCTCCTATTAGCATCATCATCATCGTCGACTGCGGATAGCGCCGTCCTGGTCGTATTTTGCTCGTGTCCTCATCCGGCCAGTTTACCTCGTCCCTTTCATTGTTAAATTCATTCTATCTCATAAATATCTGTTTAATTCACTCACAGTGATTCGGAACTACTTCATCATAATTATCTGTACTAGGTTATTGTATTTTCTGTGATTCAACATTACGTTGATGTAGTCGTATCAATCGGTGCTTAATTTTGAAATGGCAAAGCAGACACCTTGTGGTAGTTGCTCCAAACTTGTTGGACATCGCGCAACTGCGATTACATGCAGTTTATGCAGCGTAAAGTTTCATATTTCGTGTATTGGTCAGTCTGTGGACCAATGTTCAGTAATTCAAGACATTCAGCACGACCTTATGAAGATCATTTGTAAACGATATCAGTATAAGCTTGGGTAGAATGGAGCCGAAAAGCGTGACAAGCGGATCATTAGAGCGAAGTGCGCTGAAACGCGCAGCTCGATTGCCCCTGCATCACAGCCAGAGAAACAGCCAACACCTAGTACGGTAGCGAATATATCCCAGGAGCAGTGCTAGCGCTCTGGAATGCTCGGCTTCAGGGCCCACGATTTCTTCACTTGACACTAAAGCTCTGATTTGCAATAAGCAAATCGGTGATAACGAATGGAAAATGCAAATACCAAAGAAACCAAGATGTCCAGTGACCTGAGGCGCCGCAGCCTCATGGTCTTTCAGGCACCTGAATCCTGTGATTCCAATCCTCAGGTGCGCTATCAACATGACGTCGAGTTTTTGCAAACTCTGATTGATAGACTGCTCGACGTAGATGACGGCGGGCTGAAAGTGAAACAGATCGCTCGTCTCGGAAAGAGAACCAGGGGCAAAAGTCGACCTACTAGGGTAAATTTTATTGAAGAGGCAAGTCCTAAGTTAATATTGTCCCGCCTTAATAGGTTGGAAGGTCTAAAGATCCCCGTGCGCGCTGACTTAGACCTAGCAGACAGGGAGAAACTCAAGTCTGTGATGACTGAACTAAAGTGACGCACGGAAAGTAGAGAAACAAATCTCCATGTTGTAAATTTTTGGGTAGTCACCCGGATTCCTCCGCGAATCCGGATCAACAGTTCCTGATGTTTCAGGCGCGCCCAACGGTTCTTACCGCGACCTGCGTGTAGCCTTTACTAACGACTGCAGTCTGATGAACAAACGCGATGAGCTGTGCTACTTAGTAAACTCTTAGCGGCCAGACGTATTAGGCCTTGCTGAGGCACGGTTAAACTCCGACGTAACCGCCCAAGACGTAGAAATCAGCGGTTACTCGTGCTTATGCGGTGATATACCATCAAATGATCGCAGTGACGTTCTGCTTTACATAAGGTGTTCATTGTATGTGAGAAGAATGAGCACCTGCTGAGGAGTTATGGTGTTCGGTTCACCCCAGACGCTGCGTGATGCTCGTGGGTGTGGTATATAGCAGTCCACTGAGCCAGTGCGTGGAATGGCTGCCGCATGTCCGCAACCACATGAGTCGTCCGCTGTTCCTACTCATGGGCGATTCCAACTTACCCCTTAGACAGTGGCCTGAGGCTGAACTTCTCCACGGTCATTGTGAAGTCAAGAGGATGTTTACGGAGTTGAGAGTTGAAACCGGCGCCACAAAAAACATCAACAGACCGACGTGCGTAACTGCGCGCGCGACTTCATCGTGCTTAGACTAGCTTTTGACCAGCTGTGAGCAAGGTGTCCATGGCATACAAGTCTTGGAGCCGCTGGGAACGAGTGTTCACTCGACAATCATAGACAGCTTGAAAATGCCGCTGTCGTATTCTCAACCGCTGGAGCTAGCCTTCAAATACTGGAAGGCGGACTTTAATGACCTTACTCGAGCAGCGCGTCAGATGGACTGGTCTTGACCAGAGGATTCGTCTATTAAAACCTATTGGACCATCAATAGAGGGAGTGAAATCGTTGTGCGCCCGATTCGCATCCCTCAAGTACCGGAAAGCGGGGCTAGTCAAGTCACATTGGTTCGACAAGGAGTACAGCAAATTGGCCCGATGACGACGTAGACAATGGAACAAATTCGTGTTATCTGGGTCTGATGAGGACTACAACACGTACAAGGTACAGCGAGATCTCTGCAACAATGCCAAAAACAAAAAACGCAAAAGCTTCGAAGAGCAGCTTGCAACCGCCGCAAAAACTGCTCCCAAGAGGAATTGGCCGAGGTGAAGCGGCGTCTGAGGCATACAGCCAATGTTCCAGTGTTGGAAGGCTCAGATGGACAACCCCTAACCTCGAGCACAGATCGTGCGTCCGCATTGGTGGCGCACTTTGCTTCCGTATTTGCAAGTGATCAGATGTCCGTAACGAATTCGACGAGTACTGCCCCCGCTAAACTAAACAGCCTAGACTGCAGCATTGAAGATGTACGCAAGCTTCTGGCAAGTCTTGACGGGACGAAGCCTGCCGGGCCAGATGGAATCCACCCACTGATTATCAAGTCCCGACCGGCCATCATCTCCCCTACTGTAACTGAGCTGTTCAACAGGTCACTATCCACTGGATTATTACCGGCCGGCTGGAAATGCTCAGTCGTAAACCCAATACCGAAAGGTGGTAACCCAAGCAAAGTGGATAACTACCGGCCGATCTGCCTGACCGCTGTTTTGGCAAAGACGATCGAGAAGATCGTGAAGAATGGCCTTTTACAGCTTCTCGAGTCGAAAAGCCTCTTGACGTCCGCACAGCATGGTTTCGTGAAAGGTCGCTCGTGCATCACCAACCTATTGTTGACGAGGCACGAGTGGTTGCAAGCGCTGAACTAAGGCAAGTCGGTCGACATCATTTACAATGAGTTCAGTAAGGTTTGTGTCAAGGTGAATCATGCAGTGCTCCTCGACAGGCTGATGATGGGCGGTGTTGGCGGCTCCCTACACTAATGGATCAAGAAGTTCCTTGTTGATCGAAAGTGGAGGGTCCAGGTCGACAACCATTTGACCGACTGGTATCCATCGAGCAGTGGCGTGTTCCAAGGCACTGTACTGGGGCCAATTTTGTTTCTGATCCATGTAAACGATGTGCCTC